TTGACTACAGGATGCTGTGGTCACTGGCGGGGACACACACAACTCGTATTCCCCCCCCCAGTGATTGTAGGACACTGCCCTGGGGTTTGGGAATTCAACTCGAATCAGCAATACAAAAAAAAGGACGCTTTTGTTTTGTTGCCTGATTCTTCTCGTCGTTTTTACGTGACATAAGCCAAACCTTTCTCTTCCTGCTTTCTCTCTCTCCCACTCTCCCTCTTTCTCTCTCTCTCTGTCTCTCTCTCTCTTTCTCTCTGTCTCTTCCCTGTAAGCCTCCTCTTTGTTCCCCCACCCACCAGCTGAGGTCTTTAACTCTTCTTTCACTTTCCACCTAATCCGTTGCTATGGGGGCCAAACACTGGAACCTTAAACCTCAACATTTTAAAAGATTTGGAAAACTTCTGCCAGCGTAATGGCAAGCAGTCTGAACTACCCTACATCCATGCCTTTCTTGACCTCCATGCTAATCCCTCCCCCTGTGTCAAATGTTCTTCCCACCAGGTCCTCCTGGCTAAGACAGTCCCACCAGATTCTGAAACTCCAAGGGCCTCTGGCCCTATCACTCCTCCCTATCCCTCTGACTCTGCTTTTGATCCTTCCATACCTGATAACCTGCCCCCTATCAGAACCCAGCCCCAAGACCCCCCTGCTCCCGAGCCTGAGGCACAACCAAGTCCTCCCCCTGCCCTCCCATCACAATACCTTCCCTTGCCTTCCAGTCCAGGGGCCAGCACAACTCCCCTCCCTTCTCTGCCTCAAACTCCCTCTCTGCTATCTTCCCCCTCCCTTCCTCAGCATTCTGAGTCTGACACTCACTCTCTTAATTCCCCTTTATTCAAGGAAATCCAAAATCTTAAACACCTCATTCTGACTTCTACCTCAAATACCCCATTTACCCCTCCTGTATCTGCTTCTACTTCAATTCCAGACCTTGCCTCAGACACCCCTGCCCCTTCATCCTCTCATGGACAGGACACCCCTCCCATCTCTCCCACTTCAGCTTCCTCCCAGGACTCCCCTTCTCCTTCTCTTCTGCCTCCTCCCAACCCCTCTCCCAGGTCAACCCATACCCGTTCCCACACCCAGCCTCAGCCCCCTTCCCATGGCATTCTTCCCCTCAGGGAGGTGGCAGGCGTGGAAGGGATTGTCAAAGTCCATGTGCCTTTCTCTCTTGGAGATCTTTCTCAACTAGAGC